GGTCTGCGGCCGCACCCGGGTGCACCTTCCCCCGGCTCTCCAGACGTCCCAGTCACCCCGGGAGGGACCGTGTGGGGAGAGATGCCCAGCCGGGATGAGCGCGGTGCCCAGGCCCCCGACGCGGGCACGAGGCCGCCTTCGGCGCCAGCGGGTCCCAGCCCGAAGCGCTGATCGCCGCCGTGCGACAGAATAGTGGCGGCGTTGAAAGTCGCTCAGACTGGCGGTGCGTCCCGGCGCATCGTCGTCGCATCATCGGCACCTCGTGTCCGGGCCCTCCCTCCGCGCCCCACCCTGTCCTCCCTCGTATCCTGTGTGGGCTCCACGAAGCAGTGAGGGACCCCTGTGACGTCAGGACCCCGTTGTCACGTCTTCCCCAAACCTCGGCTGCTTCCCGCCGCGTCGAGGAAGCCCGAGGCCCCCTCCGCGGTCTCCTCCTGCCATCGCCCCTCCCCCGTCACTTCTTCCCACCCCCTCGATTGGTCTGTGCCCGCCGTGCTGGTCCTGGCTGTGCCGTAATGCTGCGGCGGGGTCTCGGGGGATTTAGTCGCTGAACTTGTTCCCGCGCTAGAAAATGGGGCGATGCCATCCTAGAACCGGAGAGCTTAGGGGGGCCCGCCTTCGGGTGCCAGTGGGGGCTGGGGGGGACTTCGCTAGCCGTGAGCTCGCCTTCTGTCGCCTTCCCTTTTCTGGTGGGAGGTTTGCTTTGTCGTGTTTTTAATGCTTAGAGTCATGTTGTCCCCCCCCCACACCATCTTTAGTGACTGAGGAGCGCGTCCCCACACAGTTCGTAGTAACAAGTATGTTTCTAAGTGGCTGTATTTGCAGACCACGTTGCACAAGCCTGTGCCCGTTTAGCTGTGACCGCTGGTGGTGGCAGAGTGTCCGGCATGTGTCGTCCAGGGAGGGCGCCCTCCACATCACCCACAGGACCTGACGAGGCTGGCCCATGGCCACTCCCGCCACACACAAGCTGCGCAGATGCAGTGTGGCTGACACGAGTCACTGAACACTGGGTCCCCAGGAGGGTGACTATGCTTTCATGGAGAACGGGTTTCTATAATAAAGGCGCATAAATCTTGCTGATAGTCTTTAGATTCTCTTTAAAACATTTCTGTCCTGTGTCCTTTCACTGCTCCCACGGCTTCGTCCCACCCACTCGTGTGAACGATCCCTGGTGTAGAAGGCCACGCCAGCGCCTGCGGGGGGACGCCTGCACCGCAGTGTGACAGTGTGAGCAGCCGGCGAGGCCCCTGCTTTTCCCGTCCCGGGAGCCCGGTCCCAACGAGTGCCGAGCACCTCGTGCTGCTCTCGGCTCTCGCCGCCCTCTCCCGCAGCTCTGTCAGCTTCCACCCATCCCGAAGCTATGTGCCCCCTGTTAAATGAGTCCTTCCTCCCCCTCTTCCTCCTGGCCCTGCCGTTCACCACGATGACAGGGCAGTTTGTGGTTTTCTGAGTAGTGTGTTCACTGCCGCGTGCCCGGAACCTAAAGCAGACCCCGCGCAGCGCCCCGGGGTGGCGTCTGCTGGGCCAGGGCCGGGGCTGGGCCGTGTGGCCACTGTCCCGCTGCAGAGCAGGGAGGCGGGGACGCACTCGCGTGGCCACAGCTCCGTTCCCTGGCGCCTCTGCTACTGGAGCCACCTATCGGGATGGCCAGTGCTTACCAGACTCCAGGGACTGTTGTGGTCGCAAGAGGCTTGCACAGCCACTACCCTCGACGCCGTCTTGACCCCTGATCCCTGTGTTGCACGTGATGGTCCTTGGGAGGGAAGCAGTACGATAGAAGGACCTACTTGGGTAGGCGTGGTTCCTTCCTATCCACCTCCCCATCTCCAGGCCACGCTCCAGGCTCTCCGCCTGGGCAGTGGAGCCGCACAGGGCACAGGGGAACAACCTGGGTCTGGTTTTGTGTCCTGGGACGTGTCTCCATCCTTTGTTTCTTCCTTACTTTCTGATACCACGAGATTTTTCCGGCTCGTCTGATACTTTTCCGGCTCCTGGAATCTGCTGTATCAAAATAGACCAAAGCTGAATGTTAAAAAATAAAACATTCAAGTATTAGAAGAAAACACAGGTGGGTGACCTTATAACCAGAAAACGAGGAAAGCCTTATAGAAATAAATGAGAAGTGACATAAATTGATAGTTCAGAGGAAGGAAAATGAAAATGGCTCATAAAGGTAGGAAAAGGTGCTTGCCCTCACCTCTAAGATCAGTGCGAAGGAAAAGCACCCTGCGGTCCCAAAAGTTTGGGAACACTAGTGGGTCGGCTGTGGGGAAACTGTCACGCATTGCTGGTGGGAGTCTAAATGGTGCCACCCTACAATGGGAATTTGAGGATGAGCAGACAGATGGACTTTTGGTCCAGTCATCCCCCTTTTAGGAATCTATGCTGAAAATAAACTTCCACGGGTAAACAACACATGCATAAGCTTATTCATCGCCACATCGTTTGTGACAGCAGAAGGTGGGAGACAGCCCAGATGTCTGTCAATAGAGGCCCGATTGTGGCACTGGAACACTCACACAATGGAATACTGTGCAGTGCGAAGAAAAACAAGCAGTGACAGTGTCTGTGTACTCGTGTGTAGTGACGAAAAAAGCAAGGCGTGGAACGGTATATAAAGGAGAAATTGGAAATGCATACATACCTGCTCGTTTTGATGAAAGGAACATTAGGTTAAAATAGACATTAATAAAAATGATTACCTGGGATGGGGGAGGGAGAAATGAAAGCCAGGCCTTTCTAAGTACTTTTCTATATAGTTTTGACTTTTAAAACATTGATATTTTTTTACATATTGAAAAAATAAAATTTAAACGGGAGGAATAAAGCAAACTGTAGAATTCGAAATCAATTAAATAATTGAAACAAGTTAACTTAGATTTTTATATAAAGGTTGTCCACACAGAGGAAAGAATTATTTCAGGTGACTTTTGAACACGGTACTGCTTAGTGGGATGTAACTTAAAGCCAAAACAAAGCTTCAAAGAAATCCTAAGCTAGAACACAGTTTTTAAACTCTTTTACATGTATTTTAGGATAAACCAAATATGTAAATTAATTAGGAACTAAGGTTTTCGTTGTAAAAGCAAAGAGATACAGATATGGTGCCAAAGAAATTAAGAAACAACTCTGTAAAGGAACGTACAGGCTAATCACTAAGCTTGAGTGCCGCACGTTCTGCAGGTGGGACCGAGGAAGAGCTGGAGCGACATCACAACTCTTATTAACAAGGCCAGAAAGGGTTTTAAATGGGATCACAGCGTTAATAATAAAGAATTTGAATTTTAGCATTTTAGTGTTTTCAGGGTTTTTCGAGTGTGCAATTCTGAATTTGCATGAGTGTTTACATTTTATACTAAATTTTATTTTTATGAAAATGATGGTAGATGAACAGTCAACCTGTAGTAAAATTTATGCACAAAATGTTCAAAAGTGTGCTTATTTACTGTTTTTTCTTCTGTTCTAGTTACTCTTTCTGGAAATGGAGAAAAAGGTAAGGCCCTTTTAGTCTCAATTTAAGTACATTGCTTACGGTGTCAAGTGCAGTTTTTTATTAGTGATGACTATATGTGTTCTTGTTTTTAGAAAGAAAAACATGTTTTTAAAGTTTAAGTAATTGAAATGAGACATTATATTGGGTTTCTTGCTATACTTTCAACATATTCTCATTTGCGTTATTTATATTAATAGAACTAACTTTTGTAAGGCGCATAGTAGTCACACTTGTTTGATATACTTATATATGAATTTCTGCCTTGTGTGCCAAGAACTCTTTATAGTAGTAGTTTAAAGTTTTTAATATCAATTCTAGCTGATTGAGGATTTTGTTTTCTCTTATTTATGTGTTTGTTACAAACAGTACTTTGCTACTCACAGGCATTTAATTAAGTAACCAGACTGTAAATTGTTTTACTAGTTCATTTTGAAAGGGAATTAAAGTTTTTATAAAGACTGGTCAAAGAGACAGTGCCTAGAGGGAAAAATCATTGCTTAAAATTTCATGGAAAGAAAATAAAATTGTAAATCCATTGACATCAAATTTAAAAAATAAAATATGATCAGAGATACAAAATTCCAGAGGATGTCTAGAACAGTTGAACAGTTAGAAATTAGTATTTATTCTTAGTATTGGAAATAATTAGGCATGAAGCAAGCAAATCTCGAGCTGTCTCTGAATCTCATTTCTCAGTAACAGAATAAACACAGACTCAATCTGCAAGGCTTATTTTTCTCCCTTTAAATCGAAACTGTCTCCCCTGTGTTGAAAGCACACACACAGAAAGCAGAGAATTTCTGGAGTGCTTCTAACAGGACTTGTAACTTGTGTTATTATTTCTTGGGGCTGTTTCCCCATGTCGTTCAAAGAGTCTTTTGATGAAGTTTCTGTTTGCTCTCTGGTGTGTCTTTTAATTGAGTCACAGGGGATTTTCGATTCAGACTTTTTGACATAGGTTCAGTTTTTCCTTCTGCTTCGATTTAGTTTGCCTCGTTAACTTTACTTTATATATTTCTTTAGCATACATGTATGTAACCAGAAATTTGCTTAGTAGCAACCACATGAATTCGAATTAGTTTAAAAGCAACGTTTTCTATTATTCTTTACATTATAATTTGATAATTAGCCATCTGTTAAGTACTTACTATTTTCCAGGTGTTATGCTGATTTATCTATTTTTTTAACGGAGGATTAAGAATTTTTTAAAGTAAAAGCCATTGTTTTTGTTCTTACGGAAAGCAGAAATATTCTAAAAATATATTAAATGCTTTAAAAAGTATTTTTAGAGTATATTGTTTTGCATGCTAGCCTTAGTGGCAGGTACCTAAATGACCAAGACCGTTAAAGTAACTTGAGATTGCCATTTACCTCTAAGCAAGTGTGTGGGTGAGGGCTGCCAACCGCTCATAGGGGCTAGGCAAGAGCTCAGGCGAGCCAGGTGACAGTGGGTGTGTCAGTTGGAGGCTGAGCCCAGCGCACTTTCCAAAGGAGAAACACAAGGGAGCGATACCCGACCCGGTGGTCGCCCGTGGGTGCCCCCTGGAGGGCGCCGGGCTGGCACCACGTGAGTTTGAGATCACAGAAGCTCCCATAAGGGTGACAGGTCAGTGGAGCTGAGCCCAGAGTAGAGCTGGGAGCGGAGCAGGTTGTGGCCGGGTGCATCTCGGCCCCAGCCGCGGGCCCAGGTGGCCCTGACGGCCGAGGGCATTGGAGGAGAGTATGACGGCGGGTGCGACAGGGCGGACAGCCATGGGCTCATCAGCAGACGGGGCTTTGGACTCTGGCCTCACCCTTCAGTAGCTGAGGGACACGCAGCAAGACGCTGAATTCTCCGAGCCCCGGATTTGACGTTTGCAAGCGGAGAGGACGCGTTCCGGGGCCGCCGTGAGGGTGGCCCAGGGTCCGCCCCGCTCGCCGTCCAGCGGGCGGCCTCGGGCCAAGGTGGCGGACCGAGCAGCGGCCGTCGGGGGCGCCCCCGAGGTCCTCGAGGCCTAGGGCACGTGGGTGAGGACTGGAGCAGCCGCGGACCGAGGGTGGGGCGGCTGGAACTGGGGTCCGTCACACTGCCTCTTGGACACCTGCAGGAAAGTGCCAGGCTCCCAGCCGTGGCCAACTTTGTATTACTTTATTTTAAAAGGACATTCTTAAAACCAAGAATATAAGGGAAACAACCCCAGGCCTAGGGAAGGACAGCCCTCTGAACACGTTAGCGCCGTAAAGGCTTGGCGGCCTCGTTCCGAGGTGGCTCCCGGCACCGCAGGTCAGTAGGCTGTGCGTCCCGGTCCCCTGGGAGACACCCGCGGGCGTGCGCACCCGGAGCCGCTCGAGGCGACCAGGGCGCCTGCGCAGTAGTCGCGACGTGGGGCGCAAACCCGCCTTCTTGCCGCCCGCTGAGTCCTGGCCGGAGGTGACCAGACTGCAGAGCAGATGGGAGGGGAAAGTAACATTCTGACGCGCGGACACGGGCACAGGCACCGGGGTCACGCAGGCCCGAAAGTTCCAACACAGAGAGGCAGCGTCGGGTCATGTGACATTTTGGACACAGGAGAAAGGCTGACGGGGTCTCAAAGACCAGAAGTGACAGGGGCGACTTGCAGCTGGCCGAGGGCGAGCCGAGCGCATGTGGCGGGAGCAGCCAGACACGGCGGGGGCTCAGCACCCTCGACTCGTATCAGGCGCAGGCCCCACCCTGGGTGCTGGGTCCTGAAGCGGGAGGTGGGTGGCGGCAGAGCCCTTTCCCAGGCTTGTTTCTTCATGAACAGCTAGGGCCAGTGTCCCGAAAGGCAGCCGCCGGTGGCGAGGCTCTGCTTCCCTTCAGCAGTGATAATAGCCACATTTATTGAGGCTTTTTACTCTGCGCCAGGCGCTAAGTGTTTTGCATGGAGCTCATCAACATTAAGCAGTTAATTGAAGCCTGAGCGAGTTATTTGGGGAGTAGAGTGAGAAGGGTGATGAATTCTGAGAGTGATGGAGAAGGCTTTAGTGGAAGAAGCAATATTCGATCTGAACTTTAAAAAGTAACGTTTCAGACTTTTATGCTCGTCTGTGCATTTTTGTGATGCTACATTCCCAACGGAAAGAGTTCAAGCACCTGCTAGACAGTTCTGGCTTCTCGTAGAAGCCAGTCCACTTCTTCAGGTAGGAAAACTCCAGAACACAGCAAAAAGCTCTGAGTTATATCAGCGAGTTAATACTTGGTGATTAAGATGCTGGAATGTTACACTGGTCCACCTAGGAAACAGTTATGGCAGAAATTCAAATTGGCTGAAATTTTTTCATTATCCTATGTCAAAAAGGAGAATGAAATTCAAGATGCCTTTTGTGAACAATCCAGGAATTGAGTTTTTCAAACGTGCTGATTATTCACTGTGGTAGGAACTTCTTTTATGCATTTTCAGTTTATATTTCCTTGGATTTAATGTTCATAGTGATGGAATCTGTTTTAAGTTATTTAAAGTCTAACTTTTAGGAAGAGCTTGAACTGTAGTGAGTAAAGGAGTTTTAATTTCAATGTTTAGCAACTTTATAAAATCTCATTGCATCTCAGACCGCAGTCTTTACTTACAAACCATACCAATAACTCTGAAATGCAGGAGCAGGATGCTTCTTCGTATCTGTAACATTACATCATGCAGGTAAAGGACTTTGTATATTTGATGTGTTTCATATGTTTTAATTAAATGTTTTATTAGGTTAAGCCTCCTGACCCTAAACTTTTGTTCTAATGTAATTTTTTTTCCTGTTTTCACTGGGATCAATGAAATATTATTTGTTTTTATTTACCAGGAAAGGCCGTTGTTTACCTTGTGGCTTTCCATCTGTTCTTTGTTATGTTTGTATGGTCGTATTGGATGACAATTTTCACGTCTCCCGCTTCCCCCTCCAAAGAGGTAAAGTTAATGTTGGTAAATTGCCAAATGCTGTAACTAATTGTGGGTTTCCCCTGTATGACCATCGCTAAACCTTTATGACCTAACGCGTTTGTTCTATTTCCGTTCATGAGACGTGCTGGTAACTGCGTCGTGGGTGTGAGTCTTCGGCCCACGGCCCACCGAAGCGGCATGCCAGCGGCGAATCGTGGTATCAGAGTTTAGCTGTACTAATGTTTTTCTGCCATGCTATAGTTCCTTAAACTAGGGACACACTTTATCTCACTGGGGTAAACATCTTAAGGGGTGGAAGCGAGTCGGGAAAGCGGGGTTTGTTTGTGGGAACCCCAATGTTTGCATTTTCTCAGGCCTGAACGAACAGGCTGCAACTGAAGACAGCGTTGGAGGGAAACGACTTGTCTAGGTTATGGCTTGTTGTCTCTTAGCATGGCCAAGGGACGGCCCCACTTGGAAGACGTGAGCAAACATTCCCGTGGAGTTAGGCTTTGACCGGCACGTCTCTCTCACCGTGATGTTGCCTGAACCACCGTGCGGCCAGGCGCGCCAGAGTGTGTGCTGGAGCTGGGGGTGTCCGGGTCTGGGGCTTCTGCTGCAGCCTGAGCCTCGGGTCTCTTGCTGGACAAGGGAGCTGCTCGTAGTGCCAGGCTCCTTCGGGTGTCAGTCAGGGTTAAGTGAGACGCACTTGGGTAAAGCTTTCACGCAGCCCCTTCACACGATGGCACTCACGTAGCATTAGCTGACGGGAACGATGTAGTTATTTCTCTCCGTTAAAACTCATTGAAATTCATTGAAACTTATAGACCATATGTTTAAAAATATTAGCTTCTATTTCACTTATCACAGAAGAACATATATGTAGAGAAGTATACGTACCATAATGTACACTTGGTGACGTTTCACTGACTGGGCAGAGCTGAGTACCTGCCACCAGCTCAGGGGACAGCATCACCAGCCTCCCGTGAGCTCCTCAGCCACCTCCCACCTCCTCTGCGGTCTGCCTGGTTGTGTGCCTCACGTAAATGGAGTCACACAACACGTGCGCTGTGTGTCTGGCTTTCATTGGCATTCTACTTGTGACAAGTGTCTGTGTCGCTGTGCCCACTTGCGGGCCATTCATGCTCATTGTTTCTGTCCAGCCGTGGCAGGTAACATGCTTTGTGTTGCTCAGGTCACGGGTGTTTGGGCAGCTTCCAGGGGAAGGTCACCACAGGCCGCTGTGACGCTCTGGCACACGTGCGTGGTGCACACGTGCCAGCACGGGCGGTTCTTCGGGGAGCGGGTCGCTGGATCGTGAGGCGTGTGTACAGTCAGCATCGGTAGACAGAGCCAGACTTTGTGCCCATTTCCCCTACCGAGTGCTTTTGTTTTAAGGGGTGATCTGACCATTAATAAAACTTAGTGTTTCTTCAGCCAGCCCTTAAAGTTATGCCATCCATGTCTTAATCTCTAAGTCGAAATGACCTGATCTTATTTAACCGACAACTAGCAGGGATGGCTGTTGAAAACATAGCATATGTGAATGTTCAGGTCTCACCTAGGAAATCAAGACGAACAAGAGAAGCAGTGGGTGACACTTCAGAGGAGCAGTGTGGTGGAGAGGCGAGGACCTCAGACAGGCCACCCAGACCCCTGCCACCTGGCAGCCAAGTGACGGAAACTGCTCAGCCGTCTGCAGCTCACACATGACCTCTGTGAGCTGCAGAGGCGGTCGTGGCGGCCGGGTCGTTTAACAACACACGTGGTCAGCCGAGGTGCGGTGCCACGGTCAGCACGGGCTGCGGGGCGCCGTGGGCAGTGGCAGTGCGTGAGGCGTCTTTAGGCCTCGTCGCCTCGCTCGGGCTGTTTGTGCTCCGCCCGGGCTTAAGCCCTCGCCCACCATCTGCCTCTGTGCCTGCCGGTGTCACTGCATGTGTCCCCTCTGGAACCTCCGCTTCCCGAGGGACAGATCACTTCTGTCGCGCTCTCCTCCACATCGCCTCCGGCCAGCACGTGGGCCTTCGCTCGCTGCCCCGCCGAGGGCGAACGCTGCACCCGCGAGGCGCCAGCTCCGCCGGGCGGCCGTGACGACCGAGAGCAGGACCTCAAGGCCTCTTCCCCAACAGACCTGCTGAGCACGGACTGCGTGGCTTCTCCAAGTAGCACGAAGCCCTGAGGCCGGTGGCAGCGGGAAGGGGACTCCGGAGCTCATCGCTCAGAGCAGCAGTGGCGTCAGATCCACGGGAACTGATTGATATAAAAAGCAAAAACATCCATTTTGGGGATTTCCCATTCTTTCCTCAGCAAGGACTGAGCACCTGCTGTTTGTCACACGGTGGCGGGCTCTGGGAACACAAACAGGAAGACAGACAGCGCTGTTATGATCACAGACTGTGATCAGCTTGCAAAAGAACCAGCCCCGTGGTGGAGCACGCAGGCCGGGGCCGCTGGCAGGAAAGCGGGTCGGGCAGGGCGGCCGCGAACCTGGCTAAGGGGACGCTGGCACGAGCTTCGAGGGCTCCCCCTGAAGGGTGACCGTCGGGAGGAAGAAGCTGTTTACCGCCGTCCCCTCATCCCCTGGAGTCAGCCTGGTGTGTGCCTGACGCACAGGTTGTGACACACGTGTGTGAGTGGCCGCTGCAGCGGCAGCAGCAGAGGAAGAGCTGGCGGTGTCCACAGTCACTAAGAGTCATCTCTCTGAAGGAAGTGTCCCCGTCACCGGCCACCCGCGGAGACGGTCAGCCGGCTGCCCATAGAGATCATGCTCCCGCGTGAGGTGCCAGGCCCTTCCGCAGCTGGGACGCCACTGGCCTCATGCCCCGCACGGCTGCGCCTTCTACGCGCTCTGCCCAGGTCCTCGCCCGCTCTGTGTCTCCCCGCAGGTTCCTGTTCATCCTTCGAAACGCAGCTTAGGGACCACTTCTTCCCGGAAGCCCTCGTGGGCAGCACCCCCAAAGGAGCTTCTGTCTTACCTGCGCGGTGCTGTCGGTGCCGTATTATCATGCTGACCTGTAATCTGCAGCTCTTCACGTGGCCGATCCGACATCCCCACGAGACTGGGGGTGCACGTTCGATGGCACGGGCTGCATTCTCCTCAGTCTTTGGGTCCCTGGTCCCTGGCATATAGGACGCCAAGCTCTTAGCTGGTATTTAATATGTATTTAAATTGAGCTGTCCGAACACCGATTTTAAAATAATGACATTTCATAGCTTGAATTTTGTTTGGTACTTTTTAATGAAAAATAGACTTTTAGTAATAATTTCAAAACTAATGCATGTCAAATTTTGTTTTATTCCATTCCCCATCTAAAATTCTCACATCTCTTGAGATGTTCATTCGATGTAAGCTTTTCATAATTTGAAACCTTAGTTGTTAAGGAGAAGGGACGACGTTTGGGCCTAGGTACTGCGCGGGCCAGAAGGAGGACAGCCCGGGCCGTCTGCCCAGATCTCACAGGAAGCTCTGCTGCCCAGATGTGCGCTAACATCACGATGCTTCAGAACTAGCGAGTCTCCGCTCTTGGGAGGGGCGGGCGGCTTCCGGGGGCCGGTTTCTGGACCATAGAGTTCAGGGGGCTCCTCCCTGCCGAGGGGCGGGATGAGCAGCATCCAGAGCCTCGGCTGTCAGATCGCGGCCTCCGTGCTGCTCCCTTCCGTCCCGGTCAGGCGGCCGTGTTACTTCTGCCTTGTAAGTGACCTGGGACTTCCTGCACCGGCAGGGTTTGGTTGTGGCAGCCGGGCTAGGCGATCGAAATGGCCTCTTCCACCCCCCAACCGCAGTGCCCTGGTGACCAGACGAGCAGACACAGATCCACAGGGACCTGGGCACGGGGGTTACGCAGGCCCGAAAGTTCCAACACAGGGAGGCGTTGTGGAGGGACCTGGGCACGGGGGTTACGCAGGCCCGAAAGTTCCAACACAGGGAGGCAGCGTTGGGTCATGTGACATTTTGGACACAGGAGAAAGGCCGACGGAGTCTCAGAGTCCAGAAGTGACAGGAGCGACTTGCAGCTGGCTGAGGGCGAGCCGAGCGCACGTGGCGGGAGCAGCCGGACACAGCGGGGGCTCAGCACCCTTGACTCGCATCAGGCGCAGGCTGCACCCTGGGCGCTGGGTCCTGAAGCGGGTGGCGGCAGAGCCCTTTCCCAGGCTTGTTTCTTCATGAACAGCTACGGCCAGTGTCCCGAAAGGCAGCCGCCGGTGGCGAGGCTCTGCTTCCCTCCAGGAGAGACGTGAGCCTCGGGCCCCTGAAACGGAAGCGTGGAGCCGAGGGTCCTTCATGCTGGGATGGCATCAGCAGAGGGGCCACCCACTACTCCTCTGAAGGGGACCTCTGTTGGAGGAGGCAAACGCGAGGCCGCCACGCCACGGGAACGAAGCGAAGACGTGAACTTGAAACAGCTCCATCTCTGCATGACAGACCGTCCTTGCCTTGACGGTCCTCGCTGTTCTGGGGAAGGGTCTGCCGGTAGCTGTCTAAATGCCAACGCGAAGTAGCGAAAGAATGACTTGTGGACCTCATGGAGACATTGGCAGGAAATAGTAGGACCCCGAGGTCTGTGATTTAGCCTTTACCCAAAGCAAGTGACTTTTTGGACAGTTTTCTAAAAATTAAAAATCTCTTGACACTAGCTTCAAACACCAAAATTATTACTAATAGAAAAAATATATTAAATCTCTCTGGGTGGAAGAATTTAACTTTATAAAAACAAAGCTGCAGAAATACTGTGTTCGTGTCCTTTGCCGTCATCGTGTGGCGCGAACATCCTTCAGTGTGTCAGAGGTGTGTGGTTTTGTTCAGGTGTACTTGATTTAGAGTCTTAAATTCGAAGACAAGTTTTGCCTTCATAGAGGAAAAGTTTTGTTTTTCTGTTTTGGGTAAAACTTTGTTTTCTGAGTGTGATGGTAATTAACCGGGGGATTGAAAAGAATTAACAGTTATTTCTCCTTTTATAGTTCTACCTGTCCAGTTCTGAAAAGGAACGTTATGAAAAAGAATTCAGCCAAGAAAGACAACAAGCAATTTTGAGAAGAACAGCAAGGGACTTACCTATCTACACCACCTCAGCCTCGAAAAGTAAGGAAAACAAACCCGAAGCTTTTCTTTCCAGAGAATATCTAGGGAGCAGTCATTCCTGTGAGGTCCACTCGCTCGCCTGGCCGATGGGGGCGCGGGCCAGGCTGCCGGTTCTGAGTGCGGGCGCCTGGGAGCCCACTTCGGCTTCGCCACGGCCCTGCGAGGCGGGCCCTCTCGTCTCCATTTCACAGACTAAGAAACACGCACGGGGCTAAGTAACGTGTCACAGAGTCACACAGGTCATGTGAAGAAGCAGGTGTGAATTGAGGCGCTCTGGCCCAGAGCCCACTGTGCTTCACCCCGAGGGGAGGGACAAGGAGCCTTCCCCGTGGGCAGTGACACACACATTGCGATTTCAAGTGGAGGTTTTCTGAGGGGGTACTTGACTGAGTTTTCATGGGTCGAATGCTGTCCTTTTTTGCATACGTAGTAAATTGCCTGCATAGAATGAAGTGTGGGTTTCAGCGCAGACCCCAGCTTTTCCGCTAGCAGTGCAGCTAGAGCCACTGGCTTCCTCGTTGTAAATGAGGATGATGATGCCTGCGTCTCTGGGTTAGTGGATCCGTCAGTGACACGCGCACTGGGTATAGATCTTGGTATAGAATCAGTTTTCAGTAAGTGATAGCTAATTTAAAATAATCCCCTTTTATATTTAATTACGAAGGATCCGGTGTACAATAATTGTTCAGTAGTTGTAGTTGTGCAGATTAGATAGATGTTTTTAACCCCAAATTCAAGATTTTAGAGAATTTATGAAGCCTCGAGATGACACACAAAACTCTGGGTCACGGTCAAGTGGCCTGCTCTTAGCGCGACCCCCTGATGTCCGCAGCGGTTCGTGCTGGGAGCCGCGAGCAGGAAGCGTTTGCACCAAGGGCCTCCGCGCTCTCACCGCTGGTGGTGCTGCCCGCCGCCCTGGAGAGCAGCCTTGGGCCACCCCGCACTCACCCAGACGGGGCTCAGTGCTTTGTTGAGAGTACGATTTGCTCCCAAGATTTGTTTTAATCTGCACAGTCGTTCATTGCATGTGCAGAAGAGGAAACTGAGGCTCATAGAAAGTGAGTTGCTGACCCAGGAACCGAGACAGTCAGTAGGAGAACTAGTGTGCAACCTGATGGCAGTCAGTAGTTGTCCTTTTCCCCTGAGCCGTTTATACAAGAAATGAAAGCAAAGAAAAAAAAATGTCAAATAAAAAAGAATGAAAGCGGACATCATAGTCAAGTTCACTGGGCGTGTACCTCCTTCACCCAGTTCCTCTTACCTCTTACATGTAGCCATCAGATACTGCGAAAGATGCCAGCTGATGAAGCCCGACCGCGCGCATCACTGCTCGGCGTGTGACACGTAAGTGTTGCCCGCATTCGCCCTCCTTACGCCCCAGCACTGGGGGCCGATGGGAGAGCAGGAGGGGACGGGGCATCCCGTGCTTCATCCTCAGCAAACGCTTCTCCCTCCCCATCATTGCCACGTGCGCGGGCTAACAGATATTCCTGTAAGCTAGAATATTCTTCAGGGCGATCTTCGATAACAGTTCCTGTACTGGTTGGTAGAATTTTCTTTACATATATGTCCATGCTTGTATAGAATATTGACAAGCAAGTATGTAATATCCCCCTTGAGAATGATAACTTTATTTCCTGGGTTAAAAAGACCTAAAGACAATCATTTTATTTTATTATTAATGTTGATATTAAAACCTAACAAACCACAAAAATACTGTTCTCAGTTACCCTTTCTAACATTGTTCCCTGAAAAATTTGAAAGGCTTATTCCCATGCACCTGTAAGAAGGCAGTGTGTCGAAGGGAAGACCTCCAGTTTGAGAATCCCACTTAGTCCGTGAACTTGAGTTAGACAAGCTGTTCAACCTTCTGGGTGTTCGTTTACTCATTTAGTGTATTTTTCGAGATGATCCACAGTCCAACTTCGTACAAAATAAATTACACATACATGCGGGGTGCAAATTGTGGGATTCTTTTTTTCTGATTATAAAAGTACAGTAGTGCTTATCCATGGGATAGAATTTTATAAAATATGTGGAAAAAAAGAACCATCTATAAGCCCATCAGTGTTAATATTTTAACAGATTTGCTTCTAAAGTTTTATTTTTGTGACTTGCACATATTTAAAATAGGGATTTCTGTATTTCGTTTTATTTCCCTCAGCCGATTTGTCAGCTGGACCAAGCTAGCGGACCAAGTGCTATTTGCACAATATCTGTATATTAAAATGTCACTTGCAAATTGTGGTCCCAGGTGACTGACCGCCTGTGCTCAGCTGCATTCCTGGGGTAAAAAATCTTTACCTCTTACCTATGAAAGTATTGGTGGAAATATCAGAAATTGTCTCTAACCTCATATTTACTAGGCTGGTTTTTCTAAGATATATCTGTAAAGGGACAATTGTAAGGAAAAAAGGATCAGAAATTAGAATTAGGAGAATTTCCTACATGGGTTTTCTTATGCATATTTGTTTTTTAGATGTATTCTTAAGATGGACCATCACTGTCCTTGGTATGTATTGAAACAGGGACTCACACAGGGTAGGGGAGGGGCGGGAGCAGAGAATTTAGAGCGATTTACCTCAGCATTCCTAAATTTTCAAGGTCAATTTAATTACTCATAGATATATATGTATATACATCTTTATATTAAATGTTTTCCTTTAAAAACGCATTTTGATATTAACCCAAATAATTAAACATTAAGAATTAACGTCAAAATTCCAAATTCCTTGTAGCATTTATTAAAAACATACATCCACAATTAAGGCATTGCTCCATACTGCCCAAATGAGCATTTCCAAGTAATAACAATTAAGTTTTTTGAAAAGTCTTATTATCGTTGTTATTACAGTAAAAAAAGAAAGCATACAGTTCACCAACTTACCCGTCTCTGAGGTCACTCCGGTGGTGTTGAATGTGTCACCTCGTGCGGCCAGCCACAGACTCCCCATTTCCCCTCCTTCCAGCCCCTGATTTTGATTTTTGTGAGTTTATGATTTGTCCTGTTTTATTCTTTTAGGGTGAATAACTGTGTGGGATTTTCTAATTACAAGTTCTTCCTGCTGTTTTTATTGTATTCCTTATTATATTGCCTTTTCGTGGCTGCAACAGTTTTACAGTACTTTATAAAATTTTGGACGGTAAGTCTTTTTTCTCTCTTAAAACATGTACTTAAGACTTTTTAAGATGCTATATTCGCAAGGAATTTATTCTTTATTATGAGTAGCTACACTTTAATTTTCCTAGTTAGAATCTATAATGGATCAGAGGGCAAACAGGTGATATTTACCTTCACAGGTACGTGTTTACTTGTAAATAAGTGAATATTAAACAGGATACAGTGAGCTGCTTTAGAGTGACCCAGGCTGTGTCAGCCACACTCTGACAGCAGACGTGTCAGTCTCAGGGAAGTGACTGCCTTTGTCTGAGTCGACGAGGCCCACTGCGGCTTTCCAGCGACGGAAGGGGCGTCCCCCGCGCTGGGCATCACTTGTCTCTTTCCTGTCTCTAGATAGTGATCCTTTTCCTGTCATGAGTTGCAAATGTTTTTTCAACGTTTTGTATTTTTAAAGCATTACTTTTATGATTTCTGATTTTCTTTTTATTTAAAAGCAGTCCTTTTTATTAATAATTTCTGGCTTTAGTCTATTTTCTTTAAATTTATACAAATAATCACCTGTGTTTTCTTTTGGGATTTTTGTTGTTTTTGTTTTCACATTTAAATCTTTGATTTTGAAGGGGAGATTATGGTGGTTAAAAAGTACTTTATTATTTGCTTTTCCCAAAAACCCTATGAAGGTGGTTTAGAATGTAGTTTTACTATTACTCGGGTGCAGTGAAGCCAGCAGATCAGGAGATGATTGCCACTGAACAGAGAGTGTGTCACTCACAGTTCCCAAGGGGCAGCCATGCCATGCCCACAGCCACGCAGGCCACCCAGAGCACCAGGGCCCTCGCCGTGGTTCTGCGGGGAAGGCCAGGCCCCGGGGTGGGTGGCTGGGGCTGGCCAGCCCAGCGTGAATAACTCGGCGGTCTCTGGGCACACCGGCTGTCCCTGGGCGCCTGGTACTGAACCCCGGTGAGGGCGGGGACGCGCCTCCTGCCGTGTGAGGCCACACGGAAGGTGTGGCTGCAGGTGGGCTCCAGCAGGGCGCTGGGTGGGGGAGGCGCGTCCGGGCCGGGCGGTTCACTCTGTCTACACCCGCTCAGCACCACTCGGCGGTGCTTTGAGAAGGACGACGCTTCAGGGCCAGAGCGAATGAAGCCCAGCTGTAGAATTTCACGTTTTCTTACCAGAAACTTCAGCAGCGTTTTCATGTAATGATTCATTAATTAAAGAGCAAATGTTTATTTACTTTTTAAGATGCATCATGAGTAAGGGAAGACTAGTAATCGTAAATCTACTTTTTTCTTCATTTATTTAATAAATACTTATTTAGTACCGACAATGTGCCAGGCATTCTGGGACATGAAACAAAGAGTCATGTCTTTGTAGTGCTTACCTTTGAGAAGAGGGAGACGAACAGTAAATGTAAGAGATAAATTATATCGCATATTATAAAGTAAATGCTACGAAGAAGCTAGGGTGAGGGATTGGCCAGGTGTGGGAGTGGGCGGGACGGGCAGGTGGCAGTGCTAGCGCCTTCAGTGTAGACCTTAGTAAGAAGACAAGGTTTGAGCAAAGCCTGGAAGGGAGTTAGTGGACATCCGAGAGAAAACCATTTGTGTACCCAACACAGGAGCACCTAAGTACAGAAAGCAAATATTAACAGACTTAAGGGGAGACATAGACAGCAGGACAATAATAGTAGGGGACCCCGCTTTTATCAATGGATAGATCATCCAGACCAAAAAAAATCAATAAGAAAACATTGGCCTCAAAGGGCACGTTAGACCCTATGTACTTAACAGACGTCACAGAACACTCCGTCCAAAAAGCAACAGAGTACACATTCTTCTTAAGTCCCACGGAGCATTCTCATCTCAAGATAGCTCCGTGCGAGGCCAAAAAACAGGTCGTAATAACCTTAAGTCTGAAATTATATTAAGCATCTTTTCCAACCACAATGGAATGAAACTAGAAATCAGTTACAAAAAGAAAACTGGAAAATTCACAGGTATGTGCACATTAAATAACATGCCACCGAACAACCAAAGAAGAAATCGGAAAATATCTTGAGACAAATAAAAGCGGAAGTACGACAGACCAAACGTATGGGTGCAGCAAAGGCCGCTCGGAGAGGGAAGCTCACAGCAGTGCACGCTGAGACGCAAGAGAGATCTCACTCCCAGCTACAGCTCAAGGAACGAGACAAGGGAGACCACACGGAGCCCGAGCCAGTGGAAGGAAGGAAGGAACTGAGATTGGGGGGAAATAAAAAGACAATGGAAAAGACCAGGGAGACTAAGAGCTGTTTTTTTGTTTTTTTGTTCTGTTTTGTTTTTGTAAAGATAAAATAGAGAAACCTTTATCGAGACTCAGCAAGAAAAGAGAGAGGACTCAAAATCCGAAATGTGAGAGGAGACATTACAACTGATGCCACAGAAATACAAAGGATTATAAGAGACTACTACGAATAGTTAGATGCCAAAACTGGACAACCTAGAAGAAATGGATATATTGCTGGAAACATACAGCCTTCCAAGACTGAGCTGCGATGAAATAGAAAATTCGAACAAACTAATGACTAGTAAGGAGATTCAATCAGTCACCAAAAGCCTCCCAGCTGAAGCAGTCCAAGGACCTGGTGGCTTCACTGATGAATTTTACCAAACATCTAAGGAACTAACGCCAGTCCTTCTCAAATTCTTCCAAAAAATAGAAGAAGAGGGAACATTTCCAAACTCATTTTATGAGGCCAGCATTACCCTGACACAGAAACTAGACAAGGTCACTACAAGGAAAGAAAATGACAAGCTCACATCCCTGGTGAATCCTCAACAGAATATTAGCAAACCGAATTCAGCAACACAGTAAAAGGATCATGCACGACGATCAGGTGGGCTGTTCTCCAGGGCTGCAAGGATGCTTCTCCACCTGCAAATCGATCGGTGTGATAAACCACATCACCAAAATGAAAGCTAAAACACACGTTCATCTCAATGGGCGCAGAAAAAGCATGTTATGAACTTCAACATCCATATGATAAAATCTCTCCACATAGTGGGTATAGAGGAAACTCACCACACATAATAAAGGCCATTTGTGACAGGCCCACAGCTAACGTCATCCTCCGTGGGGAGAAGCTGAGAACTTTTCCTCTAAGATCAGGAACCATACAAAGGTGCCCACTCTTGCTACTTTTATTTTAACATATGCTGGAAATCCTAGCTACTGCAATCAGGCAAGACCAATAAAGACATTGATAGTGGAAAGGAAGAAGTAAAACTCTCTGTTTGCAGGTGACATGATACTATGTATAGAAAACCCTAAAGACTATCAAAGAATCGTTGTTAGAACTAATAAACGAATTCAGTAAAGTCGCAGAATACGTAATCAATACAGAAAAATCAGTTGCATGTCTGATAAATTATCAAAAAGAAGTATAGATAATTGCATCACAAAGAATAAAATACCTAGAAATAACTTTAAGGAGGTGAAAGCATTTGAAGAGGGCACAAATAAATGGACAGATGGTCTGTACTCCAGGAATGGAAGAATTAATTTGTTAAAGTGTTCCTTTTACCCAGAGCAATGTACAGATTCTGTGCAATCTCTATCAAGTCCCAGGGGCATTTTTCACAGAAATAAAACAGTGCTAAAATTTGTATGGAACCAGAAAAGACTCTAAATAGTCAAAGCAATTTTGAGAATAAAGAATAAAGCTGGAGAAATCGTGATGTCTGATTTCAGACTATACTACAACGCTATAGTGATCAAAACAGCACGACACTGGCATGAAAATAGACACACGGATCAGTGGAGCAGAACGCAGAGCTCAGCAGTGAACCCACGCCTATACGCTCAACTTACGACCGAGGAACCGCCAATACACAACGGGGAGAGGACAGTCTCTCTGGTAAATGGTGTTGGGAAGACCGGACCACCTGTCTTACACTATACACAGAAATCAACCCCAAATGTATTAAAGACTTGAACATAAACCCGAAGCTGCAAGTCTCCCAGGAGGAAACACAGGTACTGCCCCCTTTCACTTAGGCCTTGGCAGTGATTTTCTGGATTTCACAACGAAAGCAAAAATAAACAAGTGGGGCTACGTCAAACTGAGAAGCTTCTGCACAGTAAAGGAGACCATCAGCAATGTGAAGAGGCAGCCTACAGAATAGGATAAAATATTCGCAAACCATATATCTAAAATATATAGAGAACTCATGTAACTCAGTAGCAAAAAAAAAACCAAAAAACAAAAAACAACCCAATTCAATTAAAAAATAGGCAGAGGAGCCGAAGAGACATTTCTCCAAAGAAGACGTGCAGATGGCCAACAGGTACGTGAAAAAATATTCAGCATCACTAATCAGGGAGATGCAAACCCAAACCACAAACCTCATAGCTGTCAGAATGGCCATCATCAGTAAATCAACATACAGCAGTGTCAGTGAGGATGTGGAGAAAGGGGAACCCCCATGGCACTGATGGTGGGGTTGCAAATTGGTACAGCCACTGTGGAAAACAGTGAGGAGGCTCTTCAAAAAACTAAAAATAGAACTACTTTATGACCCAGCAATTTCACTGCAGAATATTTATTCAAAGGAAACAAAAACACTAACTCGAAAAGACATCTGCACCCCCAAATTCACTGTAGCATTTATAGTAGTCAAGACACGCACTCAAGCAAACATCTATCGATGGATGAACGGATAAAGAAATTGTGCAATCTGTGTACAATGGAATGTTATTCATCTGTAAAAAAAAACAAAACAAAACAAGGAAATCCTGCCATTTGAGATAGTAAATGGAACTGGGAAAACATGGATGGACCTTGAAAGCATTTTCTAAGTGAAATAAGGCAGACAAAGACCATATGATTCCGCTTCTATGGGAACGTAGAAGACCCGGCTCATACATACAGGTGGCCGAAGTAAAGTAAGTCCTGGAGATGTAACATCCAGCGTTGTGACTGTGGTTAATAAGTATATTTGAAAGCTGAGCGGATAAGTGTGTGTGTAAAGTGTGTGTGTAATGTGCTTAAAGGGCGGTGTGTTGTCTGCTCTTCTGAGACAAGGTCGTTGGTGACCTTGGAGAGTGGCCTCTGGGCGCTCCTGCAAACATCTATGAAAGTCGCGTCCAGGGGATTTTGTGTGAACATTGGTTTCTTAATGCATTGTCTCTATTTGTACAAGCTTTGCCGCAGGAAGTCTCCAGACAGTTGTCCAAAGGTAAAATACGTTATTGCCATGACACTCTTGTCATCTTGTTTATGATGTTTATAGCAAAGATACGTAATGCTCATTTGCTTCACGAGGTGGGGAGATAGAAGACTCACTTGGTGTGTTTAACAGGTATTATAGTTAACTTTGGGAGAGAAGGAAAAAAGACACATACCAGGATTACGCAATGCTGAAAACCTGCCCTTTAGCCTGTCAACGGGCAGGACCACCGCGTGTGCCAGTGGCGTCCGTGACCCCATGTGGTTTTATGTTGAGAGGTGACACGCAGGAACTTCCTCCGAGCAGTAGATACTGGCCTCTGGGCAGGGACCACAGCCATGCGAACGGGCACCGGGACGCTGCCTTCCTTCCCTGCCGCCTCGTGTTAAAGTTATTTCCCCAACGAGAAGCTGCAGGAGCCGGGCAGGGGCGCAGAGGCTGGAGGCGCAGCAGGCCCGGGGGTGGCGTGTGGCAGCGCGCTCCAGAAATGGAGACTGGAAAAGGACAGAAACGCGTTTCCCAGTCAGCTCCTGGGCAGCAGCGCAGAGTTAAAAGCAGCCGGTTGAAACCCTCCCGCACCCTGGGTGCTGGGGAAGGCTCGCCGGATGCAGGATGCTGGCCCAAAGCCCGGCTTTCCATCTCGTTACTGATTATTGTGAAATTTTAATGAGAGCAATTTTTCAAGTGGCTCTGACTTTTTATGTAAGTAAGCTCCTTTGATAATACGTGTTTTCTGTCCAGAAATGTCGTTCTGGGATATGTTGTGTAATGGGTTCCGTTACTCGTCGTATCTGACTTTTCTGGTGGGTTTAGAAGAACCAGAGGATGGTGTGTCTCCGAGGCGGAGTGTCTCCCAAACGAACGCTGCCCTTCCTCCCCTCAGAACGAGCTGCCGGACACGCGTGCCAAGTTCCACGTGCTTTTCCTGTTCTTCGTGTCCACCATGTTCCTCGTCAGCGTCCTGTCGCTCTTCAGCTACCACTGCTGGCTGGTGGGGAAGAACAGGACGACCATAGGTATGGCGCTCGGACGGGGCGGGCGAGTGCGAAGTCAGAGCGGGGCCGTGGGCGGGCGAGGAGCAGGTGATCGTGTGTGAACGCTCACGGTGGCCGGCGGGGACAGTGGCCGCGTGTAGGTGTAGCGGCTCCTCGCGGTGTGCGTGAGGGCCGAGAGCTGGCCGCGCTTTACGAGCACGTAAAAACCGTTTCCCGCTGTCACGGTCCTAGGACATCCGCCTGGAGGACGGGGCGTGACGCGCACGTGGCGGCAGCTCGCTGATTGCCGGGCCGGTCTTAAGCCACGCTCGCGGCTCCTCCGCCA